GGGTAAATAAAATAGAGATTACAGTACTGGACACTAGCCATTCTTCACTGCTAAAGGAACTTAACTCTGTGGAGTGATTAGACTAGGGTAAATAACTCTTTGGTATCAGTTTTTGGTGAAATAGATTTGCCTAAAAGCAAGGAAAAACAAACTCGTATATCGCTAGGCTATGTTGTAAATAAATTCCTCTTTAGATTTAGTGATTCATTGGGCAAATGATGTAGAATTCATGATCCTTGATGGAGGAATTATTATGTAGAGGGCCCTTCTTATGCGAGAAAACGAGAAGCGACTCCAACGGCTTAATTGTTAAAATTGTTATTCAGTCCTTCTTCTTGTATTGCTTGGAAATTTGATAGTTTCGGAAAGCAACCTTTTGCTTGCTTTTTTTTTTTTTTTTTTTTTAAAAAAAAAAAAAAAAAAAAAAAAAATAAAAAATAAAAAAAAAAAAAAGAAAAACCTTTTGCTTGCTTTTAAAATATAATTTAAATCTACTGTCTTTTCTAGGTAAAAAATATAGTCTACTATTGAATCATTAGTTTAACGTAAATAAAATCAGAAATGATATTTAGTCGGCTTATGGTTGTATTAAGAAAAACCCAAAAGCTATGAGTAAGTCTTTAATCAGTCAGTAACTCAAAACTAAAGTGTTTGTGTGTGTGTGTGTGTGGGGGGGGGGGGGGGGGATGGAGCGAGACAGACGTCATGTAGACACAACCCCGATGTCCCCCCCCACCCCCCCCCCCCCCCCACCCCCCACCCCCACCCACCCCCCCCCCCCCCCCCCCATGTCCCTGGACCGGCGTTCACCTAACTGTACTGAGACCAGTCATAAGAATAATTGGATTAACGTGGAATTATTCTTGGACTTGTCTAAAACAATTAATGAGACAAACTGAGACTGGGAGAAATAATTCTCAGATATCAGTAGATAATGCCAGGGGGGAAAACTCTACCAAATGGGACAACTCTACCAAAGGGGGACAACTCTACCAAAGGGGGAGAAGTCCGGTGGAGTTTAAATCTACCAAAGGGGGAGAAGTCTGGTAGAGTTTGTCTTATTGTCGCTATCTTTGATCAAAGATAGGAAGTCATGATTTTAATTTAATGATCTTGTTTTTGTTGTCAGTATAGATTTTAATGCTGCGGTATATATTTATGTGTGTGTGTGTGTCTCTGGGTGTCTGTGCGAGAAGGTATGCGAGGTGTGTGTGTTTCTGTACCTGAGTGTCTATACGTGTGTGTGTGTTTTTTTTATAGGTTTCAATATGTGTATGCGAATGTGTAGTTGTACTTGTCTTTGTGCATGTGTATGTGTGTTGTTTTTGTGCGTCTGAGTGTGCATATCCGTGTATGTTTGCTCATGTATATACTCACATTATAGCTTGTAGATTAGAATTAAGATCATGTATACATATATACATATATATATAACTGTATCTAATTGATTTTGAAACTAAATTGTGCATTAAATCTAAATTATATCAAAATATGTTATTTTTATCAGATGTAAATGTCGGTGTTATAAACTGGAACTTTACAAATCAACTTAGAAGAAGTTTTATGAAGGAACATACACAGGAGTGTGTAGCTGAGATTCCTAACAGTTTTATCACAACTAAAGTTTTGTAAAAATACGGACGTAAACACAAAGCTCTATACCACGGTCCATGCAACATTATTTTTATCGTATAAGTATTAGTGTTATATATCATATCATTGTTTTGTCAGCTACAGTATTGTGTTAAGATGTCCAATATAGATTATTGACGAACAGAACAAGATGTGCAGGGACATTCTAGTAAGGTTAACATCATGTGCCGGCGTAAAGGTCAACGGATCGCCATCATGAAAGAAGGCAAAAGTAAAAAAAAAAAATAAAGTAACAATCGAGGGAGATATTGATATCATTAGCTTGTACTCTACTCATAGTCACATCACTTCTCATTTTTTTTTATCTTAACCATATTGTCTTCCTCATTAAACTTATAGAAAAAAATTAAAATATTACGTTGTTAAATTTTACCCATAACCCTTTGCTGGATACTTTTTTATAGATTTTTTAATAGTTTATTTTTTGTGAAAAATGTTAAGCTGATATATTGATTGATTTAAAACACGTTTTTGATTAATAGTGAGCAAATTTTAACTTTGTCTGACCGTGTTTTTTGATCTTTGGAACAAATCTCGATACATTAAATACATCATATATGGCCCACATTTTACGTTGCCTGGCCTATTTTTTATTATTGCCCATATTTCTTGCTCTAAACTATAAAAATCCTTGAAGAAAAGAAATGATTTTAAAAATATTTTTTTTTTATATTTTCACCACTATGGGATCACTCGCTCTACCCTACGCTACATACATTTGCCGGCTTTAGGCAATCGATCATATCAACATTGTCTGCATCACTGGTAGGAGATGGTATCGCCATAATCCATAGATGTGAATCACCGTATAGAACAATCTAGAAATCCCAGCCACACAAGTGACTATCAGCTGGCACCGTCTAGAAATCTGTGAAAGTTGTTTTTTACCCACGACCACCACTGCATTGTTTTACACACGCATTTTTTGCGCTTTTTCCCGTTGCGCTTTTTTTCTGTTGCGCTTTGTTCCGTTGCGCTTTTTTCTGTTGCGTTTTTTTCTGTTGCGCTTTTTTCTGTTGCGCTTATTTCTGGTCACTAATACCGTTTTAGACAACATTCAAAATTTTCATAGTGCGAGTACAGTAACATAATAAACATGTTAAAAATGTATAAAGCTTCTTATAACACTATCTTTGAAATTTGATATTAATAATATATAATCAAAATAATTTGAAATGCGACAATTTAATTTAATAAGACATTGTTGACATACATTTTATATAAGTGCTTGATGGGCATAACACGGTCGATAAAACAAAAGGTAGGCCGATTATTTTTAATTTAACCAGTGCTTGTAAGTCAACTATCCAATATTGTATATTTAATTTCTTTACACATGCTTTTAAGTCAACTACCAAATATTCTATATTAAATTTCTATATTAGTGCTTGTATATCAACAACCGGAAACTGCACAATGTAGCATGTTGCAAAGGGAGGAATGTGGTGTGAAAAAAACTAGCTAACTCTGAGGGTCTTACAGAGAATGGTGTCGGTTTTGAAATGAGTATTGTCGGGTACATAAGTGCACACTCAGGTCATGTATATATATATATATATATATATATATATATATATATATATATATATATATATATATATATATATATATATATAAGAGTGTGTGGTGTTTACGAATGTGTGTGTGGGTATGTGTGTTAGTATGTGTTACACATACATTGTTTACTTTAACATTATCGATTATAGTGTAGTACTTCAAATACTCATCAGCCTAAGTCTATCCCATAGACGGGGCTACTTTGACTGTGTCACGCTGACTGTCACGCGAACTGTGTCACGCTGACTGTCACGCGAACTGTGTCACAATGACTGTCATGTGTACAGAAGGAAAGTTGATCAATCCCCCGAGCCACTGGTTACAATATTAAATTAGTTTTGTTTACAATTTTTATACGCCGCCCATTTTATGAACATCACTCACTGATTAAATTTGTTTTGTTTACATTGTGCATGAGCCGCCCATTTTATCAACATCACCCACTGAACACTGCAATTTAAAGAACTCTAACCTGTTTGAGTTTGTTTATAAAGTGCTAATTTTCAAAAGTTGAACGCAATATTTGTAAACGTATCATGTACGCAATAGATCAACATCCCACGCTTTTACATATGAATGCAAGTTTCATTCTGTCCAGTTTATGTTGATTTTGTTAGTATTTTATAAGCATTACAATATATTTATTTACATTTCAATACTTCTTCAATATCAATCACAATGTTTTGCTAGATAGCAAGTTACAGTAAATCACTTCATTAAAAAATCGAATGACTTGGTATACGATACATTACTTGTGCAAGAAAGTAATCGAGGAGAAATACTTCAGACTAAGTAACGTGTCCTTTTTCTCAACAATCTGACCGTTTCATCAATGGATAATGGACACCAGCGAGAAAAGTCTCAAAGGTATTTGAGAGGTGTATAAATTCATTTAAAAATCATGCACAGCGTAGTTACAATTAATATGGTTATAAAATCCTGTCTATCTGGTTTTTTTCGGACTTTACTAAAGATTGGATGTATTTGATGTTTATAATATTTTCGGTAACTAAATAAAAATTAAAAAAAAAGCAAAAACAATTTGGTTTTCACGTGTAATGGCGACATAAACAATGGCATCCTGCTATTGGATAGGCCGCCATTGATTTTATTGTACACATTGTAAGCTAAAAATAGAAAACTAGGTCATGGGGTTTTAAATTTGCATTGTAATTTAAAAACTTGATCTGCAAAGTTTTGTAAACAAATAGTTATCGATCACTAAGTTACTGTACAGCCAATCAATATTTGTCTTACGAAAGTGAAACATCCGGTTATAACTTAGGCTTGATGAAAATAAATAGAAATGTAGCCTTAAACTCAACAAATTATTTTCAAGTTCTCTGGATTTGCAACTTGTATAACATTTATTCTAAAAATATAAAATTTCTAAATTAATTTTAGGCTTAAGTTTTTATTTTTTATTTTTTTTTACGGTCTAAATCTAAAAAGCACGTTTTTATTCCATGTCAACAACATTGGGGACGGAATCTCGTCAACTCGCTCGCCTCCATTGCACAACACCACATGAAAATTACTATAAATAGCCTAATTTCACATGGCCTGTTATTCTGAGCAGACATTTCTTGCGTAACAATGTCAAATGCTGAAATTTTCACCCGAGTATTTTCCTATTTTTGTTGCGCATGTTCTGCTATGTTATTTAATTACATTGTTTAGCTCAGTATTTTATTTAGTTACAGTATTGAGCTCAGTATTTTGAAATACCGGAGTTTTTGTCTCGTTTAGTTAAACTCCTCAAAAAACTGAATATTCAGATGAATTTATCACACAAATAATATTTTTGAAACAAATTTTTAGCTGTAACTTGTCAAAAACCTTCTTACGTGACATAAAATCATTCTTTAGCAGGTTATTTCTGTACCAAAAGTATCAATTCACAGTTCCGTTTCCGCTTTCTGATTTCCTCTTCCAAATCGAGGCTGGTGTGATTTGACACGGCAGTTCCACATGGCCACGGCGGTTTTGGATTTGTTGTCACCCACTTGCTTCCGTCTGAAGAAACAGCTAAAGAGTCAGCACATCGACTGTGAGTATACCATCGACATGTTGGTGGTGCTGGGTCGGCGGTTGTTGCTGTGGAGGTTGTGCATGGTGGAGGTGGGTTCCAGACTGGTGTACCGAGCCCGCCGGCAACAGCAGAAGAGGTACCGGTTGTAGTATTTCCGGAACTGCCCGCTGAGGAAGTAAAGCGCGAACGGGTTGACGCAAGAGTTCACAAAGGTCAGGCAGAACCCGGCGATTTTAAAGGCGTGCCAGTGATCATTGAACTCGCCGCTTGAGAAGTTGTACCACATCAGGTACACGTGACGCGGCAGCCAGCAGACGATGAAGATGACGACGAAACTCAGAACGACGTGGGCGACTTTTTTTCTGGCGGCGATTTGCCGGTTGTGGTTGGCCGCGCCGGTCTTGGAGTCAACCGGGACGTTATCGCTGCTGCGGATTAAAATCCTAGCCATCATGACGTAGAAGAACCCGATGGTGAGTAAAGGAAGAATGAAGTAAACAATCAGTCGAAGGGTGTTGGCCACGCCCGCGTGATAGTCGCTGGGAAACTGCGCACAGAATTCTCCAAGCGATGTGTTTGTCCCGTTAGCAACGTGAACGTAAATCCCGCTGAAAACGAGATCTGGAATAGCTAAAGCAATAGACAGGATCCATATACCGATCACCGTTGCTACTGTTGCTCTTAAAGTCCTGCCGGTGAGTTTAGCCATAGGGTTGACGATAGCCACATAACGGTCGGCGCTAAGGGCGGTCAGGGTGAAGACGGACACGCCCAGGGAGACGGTCTGAAGGAACTCGTTGATTTTACACGTCGCTGAGCCGTACGGCCAGTTGCTGAAGGTGTAGACCGTTGACGTCATCGGCACGCTCACCAGGATTAGGAGAAAGTCGCCCACGGATAAGCTGACGATCAGGATATTCGGGATATTTCTCATCACCTGTTGGAAGGATGTAGAATATCATTTACAGAACTACAAAAATGTATGAAAGATTTATTTTCTTTTTTTTTTTGAGAAAAAATAATCATCTCAGCACAATTAAATAATGAGTCTAGAGTTCTAGACTGCTAACCCGAAAGCCTCCAGTTCGAATCAAGGCTCAGTTCAGTGGAATGTCCCTGAGTCTGCCCAGCTCTGATGGGTACCTAACTCATGTTAATGAAAGTAAAAGCGGCTGGACATAGTATTATCCACACTATCCCTTCATATACCGAGAAACACGTGAACTCTACTTCACTTGCCCCATCTGACTTCCAAGCTCGAAAAGGTAACGTTTTAGTTACAATTAAATATACGTTTTTATATTACAGACTAATTAATGAGAACTATTACAATAGAAACACAATTTGTGATCTGACGTAACTGGTTTAGCATACGACAGTACAACAGATTACAATTGGTGGCTTCAGTGCCTCCATGTCGTACTATCATGTTGTTCGTATAATCTATCTCCTAATTAGTTTTATCCCAGATACTTTATCTGAGCTGTTCTTTTATAATAAGTCTAGTGTTACGTTTTAAAAAGATGCACTTCTTCCTCGTTCTTAATTTTAGTGTTGGAAGGCCCTCCAACACAATTAACTAATTAAATATTACTTTTCAGCTGGATATATGTACAAAAGTCACGATTACAAAGCTAAGAGAGCAGTGTTTCTTCCAGACTTTTTTCTCCAGTGGGGCATTTGAAATTTTCGGAGGGGGGGGGGGGGGGGCGGTAGACTTTTTTTCGGGGGGATGCGGACACTGAAGAGATGCCTGGACGAAACTCTGTAAGAGAGTCAGCACACGGTGTGTTGAAATACAAGGCGACCACTTGCATACAATTAAAATGGCCTTTTACAAAGCACCGAAAACAAGCTATGTATGTGGATACATACACACTCTTATTAAGCGAATTCGTTCGCGGGCCGGCTAAACTAAAAACAACACATGAAATAAGTTTCAAAATTTTTCGAGAAAAAAAAGTAGAATAATACCCAAACAGGTGATAATGAAAATAAATCAAATAAAACATATTTTCATTAACAGTAATTATGATTTTTCTAGTTATCAGATGTCTTGAGAGGTTGCAAAATTAACACCCAGGACCTGACTAAATGGAAGGTTATGGATGATGTCCTATGCTCCTCAAAGAGTAAAGAGGATTAAGTCAAGTCAAGTAAGTCATTCTCTACTTTTCACTTATATTAACGAGAATATAAATAAACCATTAAGTAACATGTATTTCACATCTAGCAAACTCCTAATGCGTCTAATGCCTATTGTAATCGGATTTCCCCGGCTAATTAACGGGAATTCCCAGTCGACCCACGCATAGAGTCTTCACTATAAAACCGCAACCCATGAATAAATGAAAACCATCATCGATTCAAAGCCTCCCTGTACATTAGATTACGTTTAGACTTGTTAAAAAAATGAATAGGTTTGAAATAATCAATTTTTAGATTTTTTTAAATTAATTAAATCAATTTTTATGCTAAATTATCTTTTAGTTCTACAGCATGTCTATGGTAAAAGAAAAGAAGTAAGTGTACTCTACTGGGTTATGTAGGGTTGAATCGCCTTCAGATCGAAACTTAAACCACAGAGCGTTATCTCAACGTGCGATACCAAGCCTATGTACTGCAGGTACTCATTCAGCTGTACTAACTTTTGCCTTAGTCCTTTCACTAAACCTTACCCACATTAGCAGAAACGAAATGTGTTTTGTTATATTGTATTATAATAACGTTTTTCTTTTTTCTTTTCTTTTTTTTTTTAAATTTTAGTCGCCTTATTCGAAGATTTAATAAAAATTAAATCTTAGAATCGTTTAGGTTTTAAATATATATGTGTATGTTTGTATGTTTGTCACTATCTGCCCACAACTATCCGCCCCCTCCCCCCACCACCACCACCACCAACACACTCTATGCTGCACATTCCACATCATAGTTAGCCCGCCATTTTTTTTACAACAAAGCACACAATTTAAATTAATGCAATTGATGCCAGCCAAGTGTTTGAATTAAATTGTTGTCTATTGTCTGCTTGTATGCAGAGACTTCGCGAGATGTGCTGGCTTTACTCAAGAGAAGTCCAGTTACTGTTGTGGTTCGTTTTAGATCCTATGTAGACGCGATCGCCTATGGATGTTACGTCTTGATGCTAAACTAGCCATTTCAGTAACATCAATTTCCTGTACTAACTTCGTCATGATTTTACTCTAGCCGTTTCTGTTACACCTTGATGCTAAGCTAGCCGTTTCTATAACATCAATCTGCTAATTACTTCTTGATATTTTGCTCGCTGTTTCTGTAACATTAATCTTCTGTGTTAGTTACGTCTTGATGCTAAGCTAGCTGTTTCTGTAATATCAACCTCTTGTGCAAAACTACATATTAATTTTACTCTAGCCGTTTCTGTATCACCTTGATCACTCGCTAGCTGTTTCTACAACATCAATCTCATGTGCTGATTAGGTCTTGATGCTAGGCTAGGCTTTTCTATAACATTAACCATCTGTGCTAATTATGACTTGATGATTCGCTAGCCGTTTCTATAATATCAACCCTCTGTGCTAATTACGTCTTGATGTAACACTGTTTCTGTAACATCAATCTCCAGTGCCAGTTACGTCATGATGCTAAGCTATCTGTTTATGTAACATCAATTTCCTGTCCCAGTTACGTCATGATACAACGCTAACTGTTTCTGTAATATCCATTTCCTGTGCCAGTTACGTCATGATGCTAAGCTATCTGTTTATGTAACATCAATCTCCAATGCCAGTTACGTCATGATGCTAAGCTATCTGTTTATGTAACATCAATTTCCTGTCCTAGATACGTCATGCTACAACGCTAACTGTTTCTGTAATACCAACATCAAGTGCTAACTTCATCATTATACTCTAGCCTTTTCTATACCACCAATCTCCGATGGATATTAACCATTTCTTTGATAACAATTTCCTGTGGAGTCTCCTATTTGATGAAATGATAACAGTCTAGAGCAGTAATATCTAGCCAGATTAAATTTTCGAATTGGAGGCTTAAAAACGAGTCTACTAAAAATAGCAACAAGATCAAATATATAAATATCGATACTGTTAAGAATTCGATATGGTTAATAGCATTCATACTATTTTAGTATAGTTTCCATATCATAAGACCAATTCTCGCTAAAACGTAATACAAATAATATCACAATTTAAAATATACGCTATAAAATCTTAGAATCGAACCTAACCTACGCTATAAAACATACCAACACGACGATACTAAAAATATGAGTACGATACTTAAAAATGCCCTAGTTCCGTTCTTAAAGGAACCTAATCCTATTAAAACAAAGCCTACAATTAATACTTATTTCGAGTATAATGAGAACGTTACTTTAATTAATGTTGTAACTTTAAAGTCGGCTGTGATAGGTTGGCTGTTTAAAATGACTGAAACAATGACAGATGATTGATTGTTGAATCCGACTTTGACTAAATTCGCGATGTTTTTGTCGCTCAACAAATGTTTGGTTTTATTTGAAAGCCTTTGTGTCATGTCATTGTGGTTTTAATTGCACGAACACTAAAATCCAGATTTTAAAAAAAAAATCACTCAGCAAAGTTTTGCGATCAGAGAAAATGTCATATTTGTTCCGTCAAATTTGTCAGTTGAATTTTTTAAAGTCTTTTAAAATTGTAAAGACCCGCAACAGTGTCAGAGGCATTTGTTCGTGGTTAGACCAGTCAAATGTTCGTCAATAGGGCTTGTAAGTAGGTCACAACTTCTCGTTCTCGTACTTGCCAGCTAGTAGATTTCGAGACCGTAGACTTACAAGCCCGATTGTGTATGTACAAATATCGAGTTATATCGATATGTAGTTAACAAACATTAGATGGCTTTCAAATAACTGTGACGGCGTGATCGAATGGTAGAGCGTTTGGCTACTAGTCGGAAGCTCTCGAGTTCAGATCTCGGTTTGGACTTGTGACTGTAGGACGTCACTGAGTCCACTCAGCTCTGATGGGTACCTGACTTACGTTGCGGAAAGTTAGGGTATCTCGGCATAACAAGTTGACATCCATGCAAACATTACAGTTAAGAACGGAGAAGAAGAATCGCTGTAATTATACAATGAATAAAACAGACCTTATCAAAAGAAGAATAAGAGACAGCGTTGTCGTGTGAGATAGAGTATGATTGCTAACTCCAGAAGTCTTCAGTTCGGAACCCCGGGCAGATGAGACTTATAAAACTTATTAGAGTTCAACCCATCTGGGCAAGAAAACTCCATAATGCTGCAGATTGCTCTTGGGTAGACAAAAGCTACCGAAGCGTATTCAGATCGAAAAGCAGATTGAAGTCGGAGTCACTTTGCCATGAGGCGTATAACATGTCATTATTAATTATGTTAAAGAAATTCTTTTCAATATTACAATAAGAATAAAGAAGATAATGAAATTAATTTCCGCCTCTAAAAGACAACCTATTGTAACAGCTTCCATTTTGATCATCTCAATTATTAGGAATTTTGAGTCAAACAACGTCATTTTTCCTGGATTTTTAAGACTGGGCGATATAAAGGGGTAATGTTAGTTCTAAACGAGGGTTTATGAGACAATTGAAAGCATTTTAAAAACAAATTCAAGCAAATAGCAAGCCTCGAATAGAATGTGAATTGTTTATTAAAGCTCAGTTTAAGTCGTAAATAAATAGACATACACAATAACATAAGAATATTACGTAGTATTTTCTGCTTATCTTTCGGATAAGCGACGTAAGTCTGTTAATCTTTATCCCAAACAGGCGTGATCGACGTTTTATATACGGTAAAACTCAATAATCCCCCCCAGAATACTTTCTAATGTTGTTTTATTTCTTTATGTCCCGGAATTAATTTCTATTTACAGCAACAGATTACTAATCCATGGAAATGATCTAAAAATAGCAAGACACAGCGTTCCTGTTTTTGTCCGTCATTACCCGCTTCTGTCGAACATAACCTATTCATTGTATTAGGATTTTCGCCGCGAATTCCGTTACGCCTTTAAAAGGTTAAAGGTTATCCAAAGGTTGGGCTGTTAATCTTAATCACATCGAACAAAGGCAAAAAAACGGTAACTTGTTATGAGCTTCCGTTGAAGTTTTGTTTTGTTTCTTTAAAAGAAATAAAAAATTGTCGCCATTAGTTCAAAGGTGAACTTTGAATCACGAGTCGGAAAATACGTTTTTTTTAAAAAGCAAAAACTGTCTCAACCTACGCTATAACATAAATAGGTTTATCTTTGAATCAGTTGCGACAGTTGGATATTTGACGGTATCGATTGGTGCCGTGCCAGGCTCCCAATAAAAAGATGCTCGCTGGAACATTGTAGGGTGCCTGGCTAATAGACTCTACAGACAGTAGCGACGGCCAATTGGGAGCTCGGCGAGGTAGGAATAAACCGAAGGAAACCAATTATTACCAGGATGACGAGGAGGGAAAAAAATAACGTGTAGTATTAAAGGTCGGAGTTTGGTGTGGGCGAAAGTAGCAAAGTCGAAGTGGAGGGGGGAGAGTGGGTAGATGTGGTATAGGCTGTAAAGGTTATATGTGTGGTATAGATCTGGTCTAGTCTAGTCTAGTCTAGTCTAGTCTAGTCTAGTCTAGTCTAGTCTAGTCTAGTCTAGTCTAGTCTAGTCTAGTCTAGTCTAGTCTAGTCTAGTCTAGTCTAGTCTAGTCTAGTCTAGTCTAGTCTAGTCTAGTCTAGTCTAGTCTAGTCTAGTCTAGTCTAGTCTAGTCTAGTCTAGTCTAGTCTAGTCTAGTCTAGTCTAGTCTAGTCTAGTCTAGTCTAGTCTAGTCTAGTCTAGTCTAGTCTAGTCTAGTCTAGTCTGATAGAGTACGAGATAAGAAATGTATTAGATATTACATTTCTAAACTAGTTAAAATTATTCGCAGTTTAAACTAGTGAAAATTACGTAATACTTATCATCTCCTTTTAATTACCATCTCGTAAATTTCTAGTATTTAAATTTCCTTACAAAATAAAGATTTCTTCCGATTATCATAAATCCAAAGATTTCAGAAGATTAAAAGGATTACGCTAATCTCTAAAGACAAGGATTTACAACGTCATTAATTATGTATTTCTTGTGCAAGCATGTGCATATGCTCAAGGTTTCCAGAATTCTCAAGGGCGGCTACTCCACTTTCTCTCCTATCCCTTTCATACACATATAATAGCATTTTCCAATACATACGATGTCTAAGCATATATTATCATTTTAAAGGTCTGAATTTTTCTTTTTTATAATTTCAAATTGCAACACAGCAATGAACTTATACATGTGTTATATTTTAATTACATCTTCACAAGGTTGGTTTTTTTTTAATCCATAAAGAAAAACATCAGCAATCTCTATTTCGTTATAGATTTTAAAAGTAATTATCTCCCTGCGTTATTAACTCCCTTGATTCAAGGGAGACGAACCTCGGCGGAACATCCGGTATTACGAAGTAATTCTTTTATCTTATCCATCTTCTGGATCACGAGGGTTCATGTGTATCCCAGTGCAGAAACTACGGAATATCGCGAAGTGGATGATGTAGATCAGGGGTCTCCAAACTTTTCAGCCCGAGGGCCGCATGAACTATCAAATTTCAGTTCGGGGGTCAATTTCTTTCAGGAATGTCTTTAATTTTTCTGAGCAAAGTTCCTCGGCCATCACCAACAAACGTTTTTTCCGTGGACAAAAAGATCTCCGCGGGCCGGATGAGAGGACATCGCGGGCCGCATCCGGCCCGCGGGCCGTAGTTTGGAGACCCCTGATGTAGATTAAAAATCAAAGGCGTCGTGAGCGTGGGGTGTGGCACAAGAAACAATATAGTGTGTGACATTTTTTTATTGAAAATACAGGCGGGTTGTTCTCTTTTAAAATCATGACATTTATAATAAAAGGGGAGAAGATTAGTGTAAGGGCAATAATTCGTCATCAAATTTTACTGTCTATTGTACAGAATGAAATGTTTGCCTTGTTTCCTTCTTTGATAATGGTGGGGGGGGGGATTGTAAAAGACATACATCTACTCACTTAAATCAAAGTCCTCTTAAAAACGACAATTTTTAAACTCTTGAAATTTTTCTGCCGCTCTCTCCTCTACCCCAACGCCACTTCAATCCCCTCCCACTAAAAATAATTATAGCCTACTTAATTTGGGTAGTTTTCAGTTTTTCTTTTATCGACTTCAAAAACACTATCCAGCTAAGCAATACTATTTCTCAAACCTTATTGTGTATCATTAGACAGGTTTCAAGCATAAGGGGGACAACTCTATAAAATACCTTGTTGTCGACGAAAGACAACTCTATAAAATAAAAGTTATCATACCTTGTTGGCGACGACAGACAAGATCAGGGTACCGTTGCCTATGAGTCCGACGATGAAGATGAAGGCAAAAACGATGGGTACGATAACACCGTAGATCTCACTGGTCAAAGCCCACCTGAAATTTTCGAAAAAAAAAAGACAAGTAAGTGTGAAATTATTAGAACTAGTTTTTCAGTTGGGGGCGAGGGTTTTGATACTATTAAATAAACATTTTAAAATGTATTTATTTCAAAACACATTTTCTTATCTCATAGACATGTAAGCAATGTGAAAAACTGAATCACTATAAAATATAGTTAGTTTATAAATGACTATACAAATATATTATTTTATTTCTTAAGCATTTTCAAAAATTGTTCTTAATATTCATCCCCTCTTTAGTGGCATGCTACTAAAAAAAAAGTATTGCAAACCCGCACTTAACACTCAGTCGTAATTAACATATCGGTTCTCTTGGAATTCCGCCTGGGACTACCGCCCCCACCACACTCCCTAGCTACGCCATTGAGCACTGTGTTTTGATGCTAGGAGTCGCCACATCAAGGTTGGGGTCGTTTAATTATGTATGGCGCATGTGTGGAGTGGTCACGCTGATGGCGGCTATTTATTGCTGCTGTCGCTGATACAAAGACATGAGAGATGAAGACGGGGCGTCTTTACAACACTATTTACGGCGACTTTAGATTTACAGCAACATTTACAACATCAACTATCTAGTTAATCACAGCATTTTTAATGTAATTGTCTGTAACTATACCATCCCGTCCTATGTTTTAGGTAACGAAAAATAATTTTGGAAATAGAAATAGAATAAATAGCCATATGTATGTAGCATAGAAATAGTTGGGTGGTATTCAGGGGGGAGGGGGGGGGGGGCAATTGAGTAAAACAGGGGCAGGTTTATTGTTCCGTAAAACCCAGTAGCGTAGCGAGGGGGGGGGGGGGGTGCGGGGGGGACGCATGTCCCCGGGCGCCGACCTTAGGGGGCGCCAAAATGGGTAGGAAAAATAAATTGAAAGATTGAGGGGGGTGCAAATCGAAATCTTGAGGGGGTGCAAATCGAAAAGTTTGTCCCCGGGCGCCGGGAAGGGTCGCTACGCCACTGGTAAAACCGTATCCAGTGTCGCATTATCGAAACAGAGAGCTATGAGTGACGTTTCAAATCCCCGCCCACTGTGACGCTACATGGAGACTAGAAAAACAGATGACAAAATAAATACGTGAATTCAAAGAATGCAGCTGACTGTATAGGAAAATAAATATAAAAATAGCGTTCAGAGTTCAGACCAAAGGTCATGGTCAGACTGGCGTGCAACTTGCTATTTTTAGAAATGGTATGTGATTGTAATACAATCAGCTTATATGACTTATGATTTGACCCAAAGTCTAATTAACTCTAATGTATTAAGCCTAATTATCCGGTTATTTCCTGTAGGCAGTACAAACATACTGGCACGCCTTTGTAAATATTGGGTTGCAATTTCTTTATAAGTTGTTTTTTTTTTTATAAATTTCATTTTTAATTGACAGTAAACAAATATCGACACCAAGTGTATGACATCAACAAACATTGACACTACTGACATCATTAAACAATAACATCATGTGAATGACTTCAACAAACCATAGCACCATGTGAATGACCTACTGACTTCAACAAACTATAACATCATGTGAATGACCTACTTACTTCAACAAACCATAACACCATGTGAATGATCTACTGACAACAAACTATAACATCATGCGAATGACCTAATGGCATCAACAAATCATAACATCATGTGAATGACCTAATGACATCAACAAACCATAACATCACGTGAATGACCTAATGACATCAACAAACCATAACATCACGTGAATGACCTAATGACATCAACAAACAATAACATCACGTGAATGACCTAATGACATCAACAAACCATAACATCATGTGAATGACCTAATGAGATCAACAAACCATAACATCACGTGAATGACCTAATGAGATCAACAAACCATAACACCATGTGAATGACCTACTGACTTCAACAAATCATAACATCATGTAAATGACCTAATGACATCAACAAACCATAACATCACGTGAATGAACTAATGACATCTACAAACCATAACATCATGTGAATGACCTAATGACATCAACAAACCATAACATCACGTGAATGACCGACTGACATCAACAAACCATAACACCATGTGAATGACCTATTGACATCAACAAACCATAACATTATGTGAATGACCTACTCACATCAACAAACCATAACATCATGTGAATGACCGACTGACTTCAACAAACCATAACACCATGTGAATGACCTACTAACATCAAACCATAACATCATGTGAATTACCTACTGAAATCAGCAAACCATAACATCATGTGAATGACCTATTTACATCAACAAACCATAACACCATGTGAATGACCTACTAACAACAAACCATAACATCATGTGAATGACATACTTACATCAACAAATAATGACAACACGTATTTGACCTACTTGTCGTAGTGGGACGGTGTGTTGTTGAGCAGGCTGCTGCTGTCGCTGGCGGTGATGTTGCCGCTGATGTGGTCGGCGGGCTGCATGGTCGAGGTCACCATCGGCACCGCTGCTAGAGTGGTGACTGCCAGAGATGCCGTCATGACGCCGCGTCAGTCAGATCAGCTGTCAGAGATAAAGACAAGAGCTAATACAAAAAAAAGTTATATCTATGTTGAAAACTTCATCTGGGAAAAAAAATCGGATTAATGATTAACAGTGCTGTTCGACAGTGCAGCTGAATCTAGAGTATATGGATTTGAGATTAACTGGGTACATAGTTTCTTATCCCTCCCTCGCCCCACGAACGAAATGGAATTTATATAGAAAATATATACTTTTAACAGTGTCAGCCCTCCCGGAGATAAAAAGTTTGAAAGAAACACTGACTGGGTACAAGACTAAAATAAGATTAGTATTAGTAAGAAAGGCAAATTTTGTTTCAAAATTAAATTTAAAATATAAATATATAACCTAATTGTATTGCGTTTTACAGAAGATAAATTACTAAATTAAAATCGTATTCATTCTTTGGTCTAATATGGTTAAAATATAGATTAATTTTTAACGCTGCACGTTAGACTGGACTACATCATATTATAAAGTGCAACAATGTGTTTAAAAAAATAATGAAATCAAAATATTGTTGCAAAATAGGATTTAAAATCATAAAAGACTAAAAATGTTTTGCAAAAAAAGTTTAAACATTATAAAACACAAAAGGAAAACTGGAAAGAAACAGAAAAACACGAGAGTAACAAAAACACTGACTTTCATAATGATCACAAAAAAATGCGAATGCTAAAATGACGAGGTGGGTTAGGGACAGGAGTTCTAGGCCTTTTTGGCTTTTAAACCAGAGTTTTTTTTTTTATTATGAGCACTTTAATATCTCAGTGCAAAACTAAGTTAATGCATTGTTGAACTGAAGATTATAATTAAATACTTGTATTTGTAAGAAATGGATATTAGCGCTTTAATGTACAACTAAAGTTTTACTAGTGTAAAAAAGTTTATTATATATAAGTCATTATATGATCTGACTACATACATGAAGAATGAAATACAAATCTAGCTAGAAATGTGATGAATGCCTATTAAAACAGCGTGATAAGATATCTACATAAAAAGCCTATATGATATAAATAGGCGCAGGGAGAAATCAAAACATAATGTAACGTTCAGGTAGATATTAGAAGCATCGCTGGCGTAGATGTTGATACACCTGCTAAGTGTGATTAAACTCACCTGTCTCTTGTGGATAAGAGAAGCGAGATTAACATCTGGTTGGTGTTTAGTATTGGATGAATACCCAGCAACATGTGCACCATAAACATAACCTTTCTAGCTTAGCCGTTTACGCCAACCCGCACCCTGTATCTGTGAGGTTGACCTTATCACCCAACCTATAATGCAAGCCAACCACTTGGTCATTGAACCACACCCAACCATTAGCATGAACCAGGCCTTTTAAATGTTTAACTAACCCCAATCTATTCTGCCAACATGTTCGTCCAACCATTCAACCACCCCAAACCACCTTTGCCAACCAGTTCATCCCACCAACCAGTCAACCGCCCCAAACCACGTTTGCCAACCAGTCGTCCAACCATCATTCAACCAACCCAAACCATCCTCACCATCCTAGCCTTAACTCCACTCCTCCATCTCCAACCACCCATCTAGATCACCTTAGCTAACCACTCTGTCCAACCATCATTCAACCAACCCTAACAACCCTTACAACCACCTGCCCAGCTTTCTCTCAACCACCCCCCACCCTACTCCCATCGCCAACCACCCTTCCACCTAGTTCACCAAAATGGCCGCCTGTTGATTTAAGCCAATGAAAGCGTATACCCACACGTGCGGAACGGCTTTAGCCGGAGCCGGTGCCGGCATTAGCCTGGAGAGAGATTAATCGCATCAGGTTCCATTAGAGTCAACATGGCGGCCGTCTGCTGCTAGCCAGATGATGTTTGCATCCAAACGGAAATGTTTGGTTGTTGTGGGCCAGGATGGATGAGGCTTGGATTTGACGGTGGGGGATTTTGTTTTCGTGTAGGCTGTAGGGGTGAGGTCGCCCCTGGGATGGGGGAGAATAGCTTGGCACAGGAGTTTTATGCGGCGTAGAGGTGGGGTTGGGGATTCTGATGGTTATTTTTTTTAACCTGCGTGTATTGTTACAAGACGAACAAAAAGTCGCGTCGTCAATGTTGTGATTAATGTATATATATATATATATATATATATATATATATATATATATATATATATCATGTTGAGGTATACATTGTTTAAAAATAGTATGTATTCAGTCTTGCTAAATTAGTATGCATCAGATCTCAAATGTTGTGTTGGTGATGAATTGTTGTTGATGTCGCGTTGTTGATCACCTATAGTAGATGTCATGTTGTTGATATCGTGTTGCAGATGTTGTGTTGGTCATGTCTTTTTATTGATTGCGTGTTGTACAAGTGCGGTTAATGTGTGGTTAATGTCCTGTTGATGTCGTGTTGTTAATGTCCTGTTGATGTCGTGTTCTTAATGTCCTGTTGATGTCGTGTTGTTAATGTCCTGTTGATGTCGTGTTGTTAATGTCCTGTTGATGGCGTGTTGTTAATGTCCTGTTGATGTCGTGTTGTTAATGTCCTGTTGATGTCGTGTTGTTAATGTCCTGTTGATGTCGTGTTGTTAATGTCCTGTTGATGTCGTGTTGTTAATGTCCTGTTGATGTCGTGTTGTTAATGTCCTGTTGATGTCGTGTTGTTAATGTCCTGTTGATGTCGTGTTGTTAATGTCCTGTTGATGTCGTGTTGTTAATGTCCTGTTGATGTCGTGTTGTTAATGTCCTGTTGATGTCGTGTTGTTAATGTCCTGTTGATGTCGTGTTGTTAATGTCCTGTTGATGTCGTGTTGTTAATGTCCTGTTGATGTCGTGTTGTTAATGTCCTGTTGATGTCGTGTTGTTAATGTCCTGTTGATGTCGTGTTGTTAATGTCCTGTTGATGTCGTGTTGTTAATTTCCTGTTGATGTCGTGTTGTTAATGTCCTGTTGATGTCGTGTTGTTAATGTCCTGTTGATGTCGTGTTGTTAATGTCCTGTTGATGTCGTGTTGTTAACGTCCTGTTGATGTCGTGTTGTTAATGTCCTGTTGATGTCGTGTTGTTAATGTCCTGTTGATGTCGTGTTGTTAATGTCCTGTTGATGTCGTGTTGTTAATGTCCTGTTGATGTCGTGTTGTTAATGTCCTGTTGATGTCGTGTTGTTAATGTCCTGTTGATGTCGTGTTGTTAATGTCCTGTTGATGTCGTGTTGTTAATGTCCTGTTGATGTCGTGTTGTTAATGTTCTGTTGATGTCATGTTGTTAATGTCCTGTTGTTGATTTTGCGTTGCTGGTGTCGTGTTGTTGATGTGTTGATGATGTGGTGCTAATGTCTTGTTGTTGAGGTCGTGTTGTTGATTTCATTTTAATGATGTTGTGTCGCTGATGTCGTTTTTAAGACGTCAACACGTTAATGTCGACTCTAATATCTTGCTATTGATACCATACTTATTGAAAGAATATTATCAAAGGCTGCACTGAACAATACAATTATAACAAAAGTTCAAACCCCCGTTCATCTATCTTTTAGAGCAGAATTGCTTGTGATACATGTGACATAGAGCAAGACCGATTTAATACATGAGACGCAAAGTTAATTTACCTCTCTGATAAAACAACGTCTTCTATAATTTAAAATGTGTATTACTACAACGTATATTAAAATAATAAAAGACTTGCCGACTAATGACGTCGAACGTCTAATGAGGACTATTTCTCTAATCAAACTAATGTTTGCATCAAACCGAATCGTTGACCTGTAATAGATGCCTATCAGAGCTGCACCGTGTGAGTTCCTAATTTAGCTGAGAGAAGATTACACGGTGCTGTTTCCTTGCTTAATGCGCGTTGTGAAAATATGAAATCTTCTATGACCTATTCAAAAAGCAGATAATTATGAAAGAAAACGTGGCCTGTAAAGAGGTTTGGTCTACGTACGTCAAACAATCAGGTAGAATATGTAGAAGGACTACATTGGGCAGGTTATGGGATTTGGTGTTTATTTTGGGATTTGGTTTTTGTTTTTTAGTTATATCTAAACGACAGAGGGCAGAAGTGGCTGTTTGTTTGTTTGCATTATGACGATGTGTATAGATATAGGGTATGTGGAGGGGGTCTAATTTTTTTTTGTGACAATGTGATACGATATAGAGTAGGTGTGGGGGGGTCTGATTTCATTGTGACGATGTGTGACGATTTAGGGTAGGTGAGGGGGTTAGATTTTTTGTGACAATGTGTGACGATTTAGGGTAGGTGAGGGGGTTAAATTAGTTTGTAACAATGTGATACTATAGAAGGTATGTTTGTGTGTCTGATTTAGTTATGACGATGTGTGACGATATAAGGTATGATTTGTCGAGCTGTTTGTGATGACGTATGATGGTACAGAACAGATGTGCGATTTTGGATAAATTTGCTGTTAAATGTAACTTGATGATTTAAGCAAGAAAACACAATGTCTATTAATCAACGCCCTTTGCAGTTATAAATTTCTTTCAAAAAGGGTTTTTTTTTGTTGTAATTATTCTGTTAAAATACAGTTGTTGCACGTAAGTAAATTTGAATTTTAATTTCTTGTTCCATATTAAACAATTATCTTTGTTTAAAGTTTCATTTTCCTTTTTTAATGCTTTAATTTTTTCAACATTTTTAACAACAGTAAGCTTTAAACAAGTGTATGCATTTATTTTTAAACGATCTCACAAAACATGGGAGAGAACTCTACATCTTTTTAAATTATCTGTAATTCTCTCACCGTCTCACGCGGGCGACGATTCGTTCTTCAATTATCTGGCCATTTAAAATTCCCAGTTTTCCAACAAATTTGTAAATTCATTGAGATGCCAGCCATCAAACATGAAACAAAATTGGCTTAGCCGACTTTTTAATTCTTTTTTTTAACCGAACTGGCTGCATGTCTTTTAAACCTTGAAACTCACACTGCATTAAAGAAGCATGGAGAAAAAAAAAATTCCATTCTCTGATTATCCGGCAACGCCAGACTGCCCGGAGGATTTTTT